TTTTTTTTTTTTTTTTTTTGTGTTGGAGTCTCACTCCGTTGCCCAGACTGGAGTACAGTGGCACGCTCATGGCCACCCCAGCCTTGGGCTGCTAGGCTTCGGCGATCCTTCCTCCTCAGCCTTCCAAGTAGCCTATATGCGTGTGCTACAACACCCAGTTATTTTTTTTTTTTTCAATTGTAAAGACAAAGTCTCACCAAGTTGTCCAGACTGGTCTCGAACCCACAGATTCAGGCAATCCACTTGCCTTGACCTCCTAAAGTGCTGGGATTACAGGCTGAGTCACCGAGCATGGCCCATAATAGTTTCTTTGAAATTGATCCTTGGAAGGCTGAGGCAGAAGGATCACCTAAGCCCAGCAGGTTGAGGCTGTGGTGGTGGCTGTGAATATGCCACTGCACTGTAGCCTGGGCGACAAAAGTGAGACTCCAACTTAAAAAAAGAAAAAAAAAAGAAATTGATCTTGTATAGATATTATTTTGTAAATTTCCTGTTTATGTCCTTTGCTCATGTATTATTGATGTATTCTTTTCTTATGATCTGCAAAATGTTTTCCTATGACTTATTGTACATAATTTTAAATTTTGATGTAAATCAGCATATATTTACACAGCAAATGTCCAATATATACTTAAGTGAATAAAGCAGGTTTCAACATTTCAGGTAGAGACTGACCCTATTTTTTCTTTTTTCTTTCTTTTTTTTTGAGTTGGCATCTCACTGTTTCGCCCAGGCTGGGGTACAGTAGCATGCTCACAGCCACCACAGCCTTGACCAGCTGGGCTCAGGTGATCCTTCCAACTCAGCCTTCCAAGTAGTTGGGATTACAGACATGTGCCACCACACCTGGCTAATTTTTTTATTTGTTGTAGAGACAAGTCTCACCAAGTTGCTCAGGCTGGTCTCAAACCTCTGGTCTCAGACATTCCTCTCGCCTCCGTCTCCCAAAGTGCTGGAATTACAGGCATGAGCCCATGGGCCCAGCCTCTTTTTTTTTTTTTTTTTTTTTTGAGTATATGTGCATGAATATAAGCCAAGCAAATATATAGAAAAAGGTCTGGAAATATATACTAAACTCTTTTTTTCGTGTATAGCAAATAGTCTTAGTAACTCTATTAACTTTTATTATTGGGATAGCATGGTTTTTATTTTCTTCAGATCTTAACCTGTTTCTGATTTTTTTATACTGAATATTATTTTTATACGACTCCTTGAACATATACCTGTTGTTCTCATGTTTAGTATAAGAGAAGGAAATAGGGAATGAGAATTAAAGAGAGATATTTATAATTTTTCTCTCATTTAGGAACCACCTTGCTGGATAGATTTGGTGGTTTTCTTTTGGAAATCCAGATTCCATATGTGTTTTTTTCATCTGAAGGACTTCTTAACATTCCAAGCATACTTCAGCTGCTAGAATCCAAGTAAGTTATTGAATTTATAACTTTAGCAAAGGTATATCAATATATTCTTACAGTGTAAATATTATGCTCTATATATGTGGCACTATGTCCCTCTGATTCAAGCCTGGAATTATATCCCATAAGAATAGCTTTTCAAGCTGCGTGTGGTGGCTCACGTCTGTAATCCCAGCTCTTTGGGAGGCGGAAACTAGAGGATTACCTGAGCTCAGGGTTTCGAGATCAGCCTGGGCAACTTGGCAAGACCTCATCTCTACAATAAATCAAGAAATTATCTGGGCTTGGTGGCACGCACCTGTAGTTCCAGCTACTTGGAAGGCTGAACTGGAAGGATTGTCTGAACCCAGCAGGTCAAGACTGTGGTGACCATGAGTGTGCCACTGTACTCCAGGCTGGACAACAGAGCGAGACTCTGACTGAAAAAAAAAAAAAAGACAAAAAAAATTAGCTTTTCAAAGAGCTCATATCGATGTATACTTCTTTCCCTATACCACACCCTCATAATTATTGAGTATTATCCTTTATTGGTAATATTTACTAATTTTATGGACAGCAATGATATTTAATTATTGCTTAAATTTATAAAGGTATTTTTCTCCCATATCTTTTTTTTTTTTTTTTTTGAGTTGGAGTCTCACTCTGTCACCCAGACTGGAGTGCAGTGGCCGCTCCCGGGCT